TCGGAAGGGGGGGGGGAAAGGTGTTTAAAGGGAGAAAAAAAAAAAAAAAAAAGGTTTTTTTTTTTTTTTTTTTTTTTTTTTGGAAAAGGGGTTTTTTTTTTTTTGGGGGGGGGGTGTGGGGGGAAAAAGGGGTTTTGGGGGGGGTTCCTTTTTTGGGGGGGGTGTTTTTTTTTTTGGGGGGGGGGGGGGAAAGAAATTTTTCCGGTTTAAAAAGGGGGGGGTTTTTTTTAAAGGGGGGTTTGTTTTTTTTTTTTTTAAAGGGGGGGGGTCCCTTTTATGGGGGAAAGGCCCCCTTTTCAGGGGGCCCGGGGTTTTTTTTTGGGGGGGGAAAAAATTTTGGGGGGGAAAAAACCGAAAGGGGGGGAGGGGGGAAAAAATGGGGAAAACCTTTTTCGTCCCCCCCCCCTTTTTTTTTTTTTTGGGAAATTTTTTTTTGGGGAGGGGGTTTCCTTTTTTTGGGGGGGGGGGCGGGGGGCCCCCCAAAAAAAGGGGGGGTTTTTTTTTTTAAAAGGGGGGGAATTTTTCTTTGTAAAAAAAAAAACCAGGTAAAAAGGGGGCCCCCCCCCCCCCCCCCCCCCCCCCCCCCCGGGCGACACGCAGCGTCCGCGGCGTCCACGGCATCTACGACGTGGAAGATGCCGGCCGGATCTTCCATGTCGGTGGCCCTTGACGGGCTGTTCGAGTTCGATTTCCATGGTAATGCGGCCGTTAATGGAACGAATGGGCAACCGTGGGCCGGCCACGGTTTGCTTGAGGGGGACGGCGGGCAGGGTGCGGCCCACGATACTATGCTCAGCCAGACGCACGATGATGATCAGGTTAGAGAAAGGACAGCAGTGCTTTTGGGCTAGAGCTAAGGTTTGTCCGAGGGGTCTGCTCAGCCAGCCTAACGACGATGATGGGGTTAGAGAAAGGACAGCGGTCAGCGCGTTAGGGTTTGGGGTGTAGGGTTTGTCCGAGGGATCTGCTCAGCCAGCCTTACGGCGATGATCAGGTTAGAAAGGACAGCAGTGCGGGTGTTGCTGCTAGGACAGCAGTATTGTCGCTAGCGGTACCGGGCAATGGGGAAATTGAAATGGGCACACTAGCCTTTCTTTTCGCAACCACCGCACACGCTCTTGACGTATGTTCCTCCCAGTTCTTGTTTCTTGTTTTTTTTTCTGCTGGTTGTCATTGCGCGATTAAAAATTCCAACATTGAAAAACACGAAACGGAATGGCGGGGGGTGCACGACGTGATGGTATTGGTGATACCATCGTTGTTGACGGTTTTGATGACGATGATGACAATTTGTTGTAGAGATACTCTAGTATGTTTTCCACGTACCGCAAGGATGCGCGAGAGAAGGCACGACGGTTGCGACCAATTTTTAAATGATGAGGTTCTTGTGATTTTTATCGTACTTTTTTCAATGATTCAGTTCAAGTGTTTTTTTATCGCACGGGGTTGTCATATATATATCATCACCGGTACGTGCGGCATAACCGAACCGTGCGTTCTCTCGCATCGTTACGGCACTACGTTACGTCGTCGCTGAGCATGGACCGACCCATCCCTGAAATGAAACCGAATGCCAGGCGGCGCACTCCGTGATGTGGGAGCAGAGCTTCATGTCGGCGCAGCCGAATCCCATCATGGAGCCGACGACTCTAACGGTTCTTCAGGACATGTACAACGAGGATGTCGCTATCACCAACCTCATGTTGTTGCTGGTGAGTTGGATATTGTTGTTGCTGTTGTTGTTGCTGCTGTCTTGGGATGTCGCCATGACCAACCCCATGTTGGTACTGGCGTGCTGGTGGGTTGGAGTTTGAGTTGTTGCCTTCACATTGCAAACCGTGCAGGTCTCTGGTCTGTTGTCGAGATGTGGAAGCGTGGAACGTTGTTGTTGTTGTTGTTGTTGTTGGTGGTGGTGGTGTTGTCTCCACAGTACGACACATGCCAGTCTCTCCTCATTACCTTCGACGGTCTCACTGGCGCGGACACCTTTCGTGGTCACAGGCTGTGCACATCATGAACCTCGCGCTGTTGCTGGTGTGAATTGAGCAGCTCAACATGAACGGCTTTTCATTCACCGCCATCATGCTGCTGTCTGCTACAATAGTCGACCATACAAAATACCACGTACGAAGGGTGGTCACGTCCATCGCGAGGTTGTATGGGTGACTAGCCCTTCCGTAGGCGAACTGACACAAGATACTACGCCCCCTGGACCGATTTTCAAAGCTCGATTGCTCTACACGACGAAGAGGATGCCAAAACATTGATTCGCTTCCGGGAAGCTCTCGACATGATGGTGCCAACGTCGCCATTTTTGGCACCACCGCTGTTTTTTTGGCTGTGGAGAAATCGAGCCTTGAAAATCGATCCTTGGGGTGTGATATCTTGCGTCATGTCAGCTACGGTAGACATGTCAGCTACGGTAGACCTTTGACCAGAAGACCTGGGGAGCTGAAGCACACAACACGAACAGGCGCGTGGATAAGCAGCAGATGGTCGTGATGAATCTCGAGGTACAGTAGAGGGAGCTGAAGCACACAACATGAACAGGCGCGTGGATAAGCAGCAGATGGTCGTGATGAATCTCGAGGCACAGTAGAGGCCCCTGTTTGGTGCCGGGGGGTGCGCACTAAACCGGACACCGGCACAATTCAAAGTACAGAACGACTTGGTATTCCAGTGTGTGCGAGACGAAAACACCATACCGGCAACCGGCACTAATTCAACCGGCACTAATTCAACCGGCACTAATTCAACCGGCACTATTTCAACCGGCACTAAACAGGGACCTCTACTGTAGTATTTACTGAGTCGAGTACAGCCGCGCAAGAAACGGCCGTAGATGTTCGTTTGGACAAGGCAGATGGTGGGATGTTGCGAGATCATCATGGCATTGCTAGGCTATCTCTCCTCACAACACTTCCTCCTGGTCGATTCATTGTTTTCACGATGGCTTCTACGCTTCTGCGGAAAAAAAAGTACATGTTGTTGCGAGATGAACATGACCTTGCTTACAGTCTCTCTCCTCACGCCCTTTTCTCAACTTCACCCGTCGATTCGATTGATTTTTTACGTGGCTTCTGCGCTTCTGCGGGGAAAAAAAAATGGTAGCGTGACCCGAGCTTGAGCTTGCACCACAGCATGGTGGCTCCAGCTGTCATGAGGATTTTCGCGAGCATCGGTCACAGGAGCGTGCAGTTCCTCGGCGCCATCCTGCCCACCATGTTCTTCGTCATCAGGTAGGTGATTTGAGTTCGCGCACAGCAGTAGAATACCATTTTGTTCTTAATTCTTAATTCTGCGTATTGATTTGCGGCTGCGGCTGCTGCTGCTGCTGCTGCTGCTGTGCGTCGCTCACAGCAGTAGAATACCGATTTTTTCTGAATGCTGCTGCTGCTGCTGGAGAATACTTTTGTCTGTGTTCTGCGTATTGATTTGCTGCTGCCGCTGCCGCTGCCGCTGCCGCTGCCGCTGCCGCTGCCGCTGTCGCTGCCGCCGCTGCGGCTGCGGCTGTGAGTCGCGCACAGCAGTAGAATACGTTTCTCTGAATTATGTGTTGTTGATTTGCTGCTGCCGCTGCCGCTGCCCCTGCCGCTGCTAGAATACTTTTGTTTGAATTCTGCGAATTAATTTGCGGTGGTGTTGCCTTGACATCGGAAACCACTCTCCTTCCGGTGTCTACTCGGTACCTTCCAGTACCCGTACCGTACCGGTCAAGCTGACGCGGAAACTCTTCGTGCTTTACTTTGCTCGTGTGCAGTCGGTGTGAGGCGGGGCTTCGGTCCAGCCTGCTCATCCAGATGCAGATGCTGGTGCGCATGCTGAAGAAGGCCATGACGCCGTACCTTGAGGCCATCCTTACGCTGGCGGCGCAGTGCTGGTCGGTGAGTTGAGGGGTTTTACTTTGGACGCTAAGTATCAAACGGAAATTTCTCGAGAAGTTTCTTTGGGTGAGTCGAGAGGGTTCAAAGTGTCAACCGGAATTTTCCGCGAATTTTCTTTCGGTGAGTTGAGAGATTTTGCTTGAATACCAGGTAAATTTATCAAACAGAAATTTTCGCGAATATTCTTGAAGTTCCAGTCATGACGCTGTATATACCTTGAGGCCATCCTCACCCTGGCGGCGCAGTGCTGGTCGGTGAGTTGAGGGGTTTTACTTTGGACGCTAAGTATCAAACGGAAACTTCTCGCGACTTTTCTTTGGGTGAGTCGAGAGGGTTTAAAGTGTCAAACGGAATTTTCCGCGAATTTCCTTTCGTGAGTTGAGAGATTTTGCTTGAATACCAGGTATCAAACAGAAATTTCCGCGAATATTCTTGAAGTTTCAGTCATGACGCTGTATTTACCTTGAAGCCATCCTTACCCTGGCGGCGCAGTGCTGGTCGGTGAGTTGAGAGGTTTTACTTTGAACGCTGAGTATCAAACGGAAATTTCTCGCGACCTTTCTTAGGGTGAGTCGAGAGGTCTTAAAAGTATCAAACGGAATTTTCCGCGAACACTCTTTGGGTGAGTTGAGAGGTTTTACCTGGATACGAGGCATCAAACAGAAATTTCCGCGAATATTCTTGAAGTTCCAGTCATGACGCTGTATATACCTTTAGGCCATCCTTACCCTGGCGGCGCAGTGCTGGTCGGTGAGTTGAGAAGCATTAGTGTAGATCAAACGAAGTTATCGGCGAACATTTGCAATTTCCGCGGTGCTCAAAATTTCCTCACGAACGCTCGCACAGACAGCGGCGTGCTCGTCGATGAGCGACATGTTACTAAGCATATCCGCGCACTTTTTGTAAGGGCATGGCACCGCGTTTATACTATAAGACGTCCATTTCGATGCCATCCTCACCCTGGCAGCGCAGTGCTGGTCGGTGAGTTGGGAAAATGTTCTTGTAGATCAAACGGGAAATTGCGTCGGAAAACAGAAATTAGGGACACTGGCCGAATCAACCCGCTCACCGACGACGACTGCCCGATGGCCAGTAATCGAGAGCAAGTTTCCAGGAATTTTCCTGTGGTCAAAAGCTTGTGTGGGGAAAAGCAAATCGCAGGAAACAACCCGCCCACCGATGATAATGTACGCGATGGCCATTAATAGCGAGAAAAATACTGGCGGAGTTTCCCGTGCACTCTCTCTCTCTTGCTCTCTCTCTTCCTCTCCCCCCCCCCCCCCACCCCCCCCCCCCCCC